CATACTACATCCTCAGCATACACACACAGAGACACACTACATCCCTAGCACACACACACAGATGCACTACATCCCTAGCACACACAGATTACATCCCTAGCGCACACAAAGACACAGTACATCCCCAGCACACAGAGACAACTGTCACAAACTCAGAAACCAGACACACTGGCAGAACATAGACACAGGAAGTGCAGTACCGGTCCTTTGAGTGGCCTGGCTGTGCACACAGTGAGAAGTCAGGATTTAAGCCAAAATTAGAGGGAACCAGAAAGACAGAATAATCGATTAGACAAGCCGAGGTCAAGGGTCAGAGAAAGCAGGATAAATGGTGAGACAAGCCAAAAATTCAGTAATCAGACAAACAGACAGAGCATACGCACTATTGGGCTATCAAAAGACCACAACAGGGCAACAAGGAACGGAAGAGGTGAGTTTAAATATGTTTAGGGAGTTTCTGATTGGCTAGCTTCCAATCAGAATTAACTATCACACGTCTCATTTTCACATGTAATTTTACACATTTACCGCTTCAGCTGTGTTTGTAACGTTTCAACATACATCGTTATGTAATTCCATACATTTTCCCCATTTGTGCACGACTGTAAAATTATTCAGTTTTACTCTGCTGCCTTGTGCATGTTAGGGCTTATGTGGGCTGGTGGCTTTTTTCATGGCAGTCGAGTATGGTCGTGGTTTGGGGGAGTTTGAGCGAGTTAGAGAGAGGGGGGTGAGTCCAGTTTTCCACGCCTCCCGTTCTTATCTCAAGATGTATGGGGGCACGCTTTTGCCTGTTTGACACTTGTTAGGCATTTCTCTTTTTCCTTATCTGCCGCCAGCTTTAACTGTGGGATTTAGGCGGAATTCTGTGGTCAGGTCTTCAAATTTTTTAAGCTCTTGCCCCTGAAGTATTTGGTGTAGATGTGTGATTCCATGGCGTTGCCATATGGCGTGGTTAAAATTTGGTATTATATTGTAAAGAGCTTTTATTGGGGTGGCGGGAGAGATTTTACCTTTCCAGTTCATTTTGTGGCAGTACTTGTCCCATATGTGTAGTGTGAGTGTGGTTGCTGGAGCATAATTTTGTGCGGGGGTCTGTATTGGCATGGCAGCCACACCACGCCAAGACATGTAACGGGATTCCATTAGCGTGATGTGACTCTATGTCCGACTATTGGGTAGCACCGTCCCTGTGGCTTTCAGCTAGGAGTGGGCTGAGGATTGCTGCTTGGTAGTAGTTGTGTACGTTTGGTACCCCCATCCCTCCCCGTGTTTGTGGCATATAGAGAATATTTTTGGACGTTCTGGTTTTTTTGCCGTCCCATATGAACAACATTATGATTTTTTGCTTCTCTTGGAGAAAGTGTCGCTCCATCCTGTTAGTGTGTTTTAGATTTCCCTTAGGGTATGGGAACCCGCCGC